ACGTTTAAATCAAGCCCTTCATCAGAAATGCCCTTCACTTGTCAATCAGAAAGGTGTTCTTCTCCACGACAATGCACATCCACATGTGGCACGTTTGACGCAGCACAAGATTATGGAGTTGGGTTGGGAAGTTCTCTCCCACCCACCATATTCTCTAGATATGGCACCATCAGATTACCATCTTTTTTGTTCGCGGCAACACCATCTTAATGGGAAAACATATGCAAGTGTGGAAGGTGTTAAAGAGAACGTCGACATGTTTTTTGCTTCAAAGTCAAGTGATTTCCTTAATCAGGGCATTAACAACCTTGTAAGATGGAAAAGCATAATCGATAAGAATGGAGACTATTTCATTTAATAAATGTTTTGTCTAGATATATAGATTGTTTGGGTTTTTTCATCTAAAAAAGTGACATTAATTTCTTGAAGACCTAATAGATAGAAACCAGTATGAAAAGGAAACAGTGAGGATGAAGAGAAACTGTATTAGTTTCTAAGCATTATGAGGGTGTTCCCCTAAACACTGTCATCATCATCATCTCATCTGTACTTCAGAAAATTAAACTTATTTATTTTAGTTCAGTTTATATTTCTCAGTGTTTCTCCATTACAATTTCTGTATTTCAACAACTTACAACTAGTTTCTTAATTAAGCCTACAAAAGAATACAAACATTACTTAGAAAACACATGCACAGGTATACATTAAACAGTAATAAATGACTTGTTGAATCACATTATTGGAAAAAAAATATAATACCAGATATTTGGACTCAAAATATATTGTATAATTTAAAATATATAACTAGTTTGTTGGTTCTCCAGTTCTTCTGAATGATGAGTAGGTTAATTCAAATATAATTAAATAAATAATAACCATTAACAATTAGGCATTGAAATAAATAAATAATATACTTTTTATAAATCTTTAATCTAATTTTGATGTATAGTGACAAATAAAAGTATATAAAAAATTTACTCTTCACAACTCACATGGAAAATATTTTTGTTTAGCAGTTTGATAATATAAATAGCATCTCAACCATTGCTCTGTCTGTCATATCCCAGTTGGCCTGAAGAGCCATGGTATTACATGAAAGGCTTCTTTGGCACTGGATATAGCAGATAGGATATTGATATATTATTTGATACTCTTCTTTCACTCAGAAATTATTATAAATACTTCACTGATGATTCTTAAATGTAATTGGCTGGTGATTAATGTATGCGAAATAATAATGCGTTTATTATTTAAGTCATGGGAAGTGTGATTTACTTAAGATTACAAAACTAGTCATAATCACAATTGACTTCTTGGTGCAATTTTGTATCATAAATAATTCTTTGTATTTCTATCCTAAGGGGAAAAAAAAGTTTTGTGTTTGGGAATTTTTGAAAAATGTTATGCAGAAACTAAATTAATTTAAAATAGAAAATTAAATAATTTTATGTTTAATAAGTAGAAAATATTTACACAATCATTTTAAATTTGTTGTATAAAACAAGTTAAACATTTTATATTTGATAAAGCTTTATAAAACACTTTAAACACTTACTATTCACTAACATTGGTTATTATTTTTATGTATAGCTGCAGGTTTCAGGATAAAACTGATATGACAAGAATGTGTGTGGAATATATTTTTCTTCAATCATCTTAGTAATATTTATGGTGTGTGTGTTTTATATCTGTAGTATTCGAGGTTATATATGATGTGTATTTTATGTTGTATGTTTGATGTGTTTGATTCATTTCTTTTATTATCTTAGGGGTATATATATGTCTGTGATTGTTTTATCTATAATTCCAAGAACCCCAAGTGAAAACAAAGGAGAACATTGTAATACCAACCACACTGCATATCCAGTGCTTTTGAAGATTTTTACCCAATACTAGGGCTCATTGGGTCAGCTGAGATAGGACAGACGTGGTGGTAGTATAGGCACTATATACATTATCAGTTTTATGAACAACAACAGTTATGGTGTGAAACTGATTAAACAAGTGAATTTTAATTATTATAATTCTTATTTAAGTCAATTTCAAATGAGATTTTAGGAGAATAATTAAAAACGTAACATTATTTATTCTATTTTAACATTGAATATTTATCTATATTCATTTTTATTAGTTTATTTGAATTAACTTTACTATCATTCACAAGAACTGGGAAGCCACTAAGCTAGTCTTGTGCTCCAGGGCAATTCAAGCAACTACAACATTAAGGGGAGAAAACTACATTAGTAATTATATGAACCTATGAGTGAAAGCAAAAGAGAATATGTTGTTATATGTCAACATGCTACGTCTACCATATTCAGTGTGACTGGGACATGACAGACATAGTAGTGGTCTTGACACTATTATATATCAACATCTTTTATGTTAGAAGTTATGTAAGTTGTTTGTCCTATAAAACTAGATAAGTATGTATTTCTTTCTGGATATGTATCAAGTGAATTCTTCAATATTTTTAGAGGTATATGTGACTTATGTTGTTGTTTTTTCCTTATATTGCTAATGATGTATACAAGGCTTATTTTTCTTCTGTAACATTAGAAATAATGTTTATATTATGTGTATGTTTTTCCTCATAGATATGGGACATGTTTGGTGTGTTCTTTGCCAACCATCCAGATCTGAGAAGAATCCTGACTGACTATGGCTTTGAAGGTCATCCTTTCCGGAAAGACTTTCCTCTGAGTGGCTATGTTGAAGTAAGTTGTTGTTTATTGCTTCATAGTTCGGGGACAATGATATATTTTTTACTCTGGTATTCTTTAAAAAATGTTTTTCTTCAAATTGTTAGTTTATAGTTTGAAACATGATAGATTAATAGAATAGTATATGTAATGAAAAATATTGATAATTTTGACATTAAATAAATTATTTTTATTTAGAAAAAACACAAACTTCTTTGCAACCTCCTCCTCTTTATGTTAGGAGTGGCATGTTTCTCACAGAGACTGAAATTTGTCAAGTGTAGAACTGGACAATATAATCAATTATCAATGAACATCAATTACATTAATTAGTATCATGTAAACTAATCAATTAAGAATAAGAATAATTGAAATTATTGTTTCATATTATGACTGATTTTGGATATTCTAACAATTGATAGATTGAAATTACAATTGAATCAGTTGTCAAGAAAATAATCAACTAAAATTTGGGTTTCTGATTATTAAAATTGTTTTTTATTATTCCAATTATCCAATAAATCGAAATATTGCCATTATATTTACTTGTTGTTAAGCACAAAGCTTTGTAATGGGCTATCTGTGCCCTACTCACTGCAGGTATTGAAACCTGATTTTAGCATTATAAGTTTTTTCAGTTGAAGTTATTTGAGGGCC